GTAAAAAAACAAAATTCTCAATGAACCTGGATAAAGAAAATAATAGAAGGTCCCTCCCTCTATGTTAGCAGATAGACGGCCTGGTACACGAAAGAGGGGAGACCGAGTTCAGTTTAGCTACAAAAAAATATGAAGTGTACAGAAACGCCAAAATAAATAGACAGTCTGTCCCTCTACATTAGCAACTAGAAGGCTTGGGACAAGAAAGAGGAAAAGAAGGGGTAATGATTCTAGTCTAACATTTGATTTACATCTATTATATGCTCATTTTATTCCAAAGTCTTAATTATTTTGTGTACAATTTTAGTCTTAGTTTACATACTTGACATAGAAGTAACTCTACTTATATCTTTAATTCCAATAGAGTAGATCTATATTCTCATTTGTTAATGAAGGAATCAAAAAATACCCAACTTGAATTGAACATCAAATTATCTCAGAATCACAACAATACATTTACTTTATATACCAATTCTTATTTCATAGAATTGAAATTTGAATCAAAATCGATCTAAGAGTTGTTACTTATTCTACGTTCTTTTCTCTTTGACTTGAGGTAATTCGATAACTAGCCTTATCGTTTTCCTATTATTTACTACAATTGCCACTACTCTGGTATGTATACTAACCTTGTAGAATATACATTTCTACATCTAGTTTTGCTGTCATGGTTAATGGCAGTCCATCAAATTTTTTCACTGCTTCCAAAGGCTTGAGACAAGGTGATCCCCTTTCTCCTCTCTTTTTCATCATCGTTATGGAAGGTTTAAATAAATTATTAGAAAAGATTAAAGAATTGCAACTATTAAAAGGTATCACTGTTGGCCAACAAGAGAACCAAATGGAGATTACCTATCCATTTTTTGCTGATAACACACTCATTTTCTGTCAACCTGATATTTACTCCTTAATTTTCTTATGATGTGTCTTACTCTGCTTCCAAACAGTATCAGAACTGAAAGTAAACCTACACAAATTTGAGTTAGCAGTTTTGGGCATCTCCTCAGGAGACATAGTTGCCGTTTGTTAGGCTGCAAATTATCTCATCTCCTCATTACTTATCTTGGTGCTAAATTCAAAGATAAAAGCTGTTGGGATCTGATAATGACATGTTTCATAATCGTCTTACAAACTGGAAGAGGAGGCTCTTATCCAAGGGAGACAGACTTACACTAATCAAAAGCACACTCTCAAATCTTCCCATCTACCTTTTATCTCTACTTAATATTCCGAGTACTGTTGCCAACAAACTAGAGGCCATACAATGCAATTTCTTTTGGGGTGATGGTGACAACAATAACAAAAACCTTCATCTTGTAAATTGAAAAGAAATCAAGAAACCATTCAAAGAAGATCAACTGGGTCTGAGATCAATTGACAAACTAAATAAAACTCTAGTTGAAAAATGGATATGGAGATTTGGAATGACAACAACGGCTTTTGGAAATCAATCATTATGAGTAAATGGTTCAATGGTGACTGCAATGATAACTCTAAAATAAAAAACAACAGTTATGACTCTAGCTTATGGAGAGGTATTTAGAATCTAAACAACCCTGTTCGTCATAATTCTAGGTGGAACATCGACAATGGCACTAAAATTCATTTATAGAAAGATATTTGGCATGACAGAGAAGCATTCCAATCAAGATTTTCAATGATATATGCGATTGTTAGATACAAAAACATTTTAGTAAAAGATGTTGTTGAACAGAATCAATGACATGTGATGCGTCTAGAAACTTGCAAGATTGGGAAATTGAGGAATATGAACATTTGCTTCAAACTCTGTTTCACATCCACCTAAGTGACAGCAATGACAAACTTATCTGACAACACACCAAATCTGGTAATTTCTTAGTTAAATCCCTGTACAAGACTTTGGTTGGCAATAATCTACAAGAACAAACAAAATTTCTACCTAATATTATTTGAAAATCGGGTGCCACTCCAAGAATTTCTTTTTTTGCATGGGAAGCAGCAAATGGCCGCATTCTTACGTTAGATAATTTAATGAAAAAAAGCTTTACAATTGTCAATAGATACTTTCTCTACAAAAATAGCTATGAAACGTGTAATCACCTACTCCTAGAATGTTCGGTCTCTCACAACCTCCTTATGGGCCTTTCTTGGGTCAAATATAAATCAATTTTGGATGAGCTACTTGCATGGGAAGGATTGAGCTGTCATAAGAAAACTTTTAGATTTGTCGCTCTCACTATATTTTGGGTCATTTGGAAGAAAAGAAACAATTGTACTTTCGAAGAAAAAAAAAAGTCGACTTCAGAATCATCACTGACAAGTGATTCTATTATTTCGGATCCACTATTTTAAAACATGACATCGAATGCTTTGATGATCTCATTTCTATAGTCAATTGTTTAACAATCTTTAAATTTTTTGTAGATTGGCGGTGCCCCCTTGGCACCTTCACCTCAATACAACTTCATACTTTTATTTCAAAAAAAAAAATTATTCAGTAAACACCCACGTAGCTACTTAGCTGCGGACCAGGAAATAACAGTAACACCATAGATCAGATGCAAAATTGCTGCTCAACTTTCAGGCCAAGCAGGTTTGACATCTGGCTCAGACAAGTTCAAGACACGAATATTCTGCTGCAAACGTGAACAGTAGCCTAAGCACTTTTCTGGTTCTGATCTTCCTTAGCACTTCCTATTCAAAAGAAACTATTTGGAAACAATGTAGCCATAACCATTTCTAAAATTAGAATACCTGATATGCTGTGAGAGTTCACTTGCTGGTATAAGCAATTCAGCAACACTGACATTATAATCAGGGACAAAAACAACCTGAACAAAAACAAAAATTATTAAACTATCTTCAACTAAAGAAATACAAGAACTGCTCATATCGGGTCCTTTATAATTTAATTTCAGTAAAATTCTAATAACAGAAAGACATTGAGAACACAGTCTTGTTGGTCAACAAAATGCAAACATGTGATAATAAACCTTAGGTGACAGGCCTGACCAATTAACTGGATTTGGAAGGAGACTTTATGTATGCAAAAGTTACTGGAACACCATTACAAAAAATTCAGAACAACATAACTAATCAAACAATAGTTCATAACAATTAAGAAAATAAGTGGCAAGTCCTTCTCTCAATTTTTTTTGCCTCCCTCCTTCAGTAGAAGACTCTAAAGATTTCATTACTCATTTAGCACCAAAACCATACCTTAAGTAAATCACCTATTTCAGGATCATGATTAACTGTAGCCCCAACATCTGTAATGAATTTGACAATTCTCTTTGCTTGCACGTAGGTAGCAAATGCTTTTCCCCCAAATATACAAACACGCGGAACAAACTTTTCTTTCCTTTCCTCAGCAGTCATTTCTTTCATCACTTTGTAGCGGTAAACAATTCCCAAGATATTCAGAAGTTGTCGCTTGTATTCATGGATGCGCTTCACCTGCAGTTGCTCATTCCAGCATGAAGCAGGTTATTTATAGGTAGCGACACTTAAACTGGAAGTAGACTAATTAACTTTTATTTGTGACTAAGAATCCAGTACAAAGGAGACCTAACCCATCCATGATTCATCTTAAACATTAACCATTTCAATTCAACTTGCTGCAACTTCAGCATTGGACTACAGGTTGCCCATTAAATTTCACTATTAACTTCTTCTTTCTGTCTCATTAGCAGGAAAAAAAAAAACTCATTTACTGCCATCTAATGGTAAAAGATTGTATTTCTAGTCACCTTTTCACTGAAACAGCAGTAAAGTATAAAAGAACTAACCTGGATGTCGAACATTGCATCAGGGCTCACAGAATACCCTGTTTTTTTTTTCAGAAATGATGCGACCTTCATTTTGTTGCTCCTTTTTGCCGCTCTCCACTGGTTCTGGAGATCCTTGTTGTCTGCATACTAAAAACGGATACACAAATCTGATTAAGGTGTGCAGAAATAATAGTGTAATCTTGATTATTAAAAAATAAAGCAGAAAAAAAATATTTGCAGTCAGTCATTTACAGACAACAAACATATAGAAAATAGGCTTAGAAAATTTAAAAATGACAATTCCAACTTTAGACAGCAGGAGCTTTGATTATTTTGTTTTAGAGCAGAACATCCACTATATTACTCTCAAATAAAAGATAAGTTACTTGAAACAGTCCGAAAATCAGGCTTTTGTTGACTTCTAGGTTTCCAAGATGCAGGAAATCAGATGAGGAATCCAAGGAACCATTACTTAAGCTGGTTGTCCTTCAATCCTCCAACAGACATGCCTAGTATTTCAAGTGAAAAACTAGGCAGGTCAGAAACATATTTCCACACAAATGTCCTGGTCAAGCCATATCCAAATATTGATTTTTACGTTTCTTAACTTCCCGTGTGATTAAGTCACAAATATCATATGCATGTGTGAGCACACAGGAGTCTATGTCTCTGAATATCTATGAATAGAACGATTCAGATACACTGAACAAGAAGATTTTAGGAAAGTCAGATATCATTGGTTACCTTTTTAAGTTCAGACAGCATTTCAGTGTTTAAGACCCAATCTTCTGTTCCTATCCAATCAGTTATAATTTTACTTAAATCTGGATTGCAAAAACGGATCCATCTCCTTGGCGTGACACCGTTTGTCTTATTCTGAAACTTCTTGGGCCACAACTGCCGTGTTATAGCACAAAAATTAAATACAGTAAACATTTTCTTGACATAGAAATTCCACGTTACTACATAAAATAAATTAATAAGTCTATAATATACTCACCTGAAAGAATTCATTAAATACTTCATTCTTTACTATCTCACTATGTATCTCGGCAACTCCATTTACAGCATGACCACCTACAACACACAGGTTAGCCATTCGGACCAATTTTGGTGGTTCTGGTACTGGAATTGGTTCCGGTTCCGGTTTGGTTTCTGGTTCCTGCTCCTCTTCCTGAGTGCCTCCATTTTCAAGTTTGTTTTCTTCACTCACTAGATTGACCTCCTCTTTTGATTCTTCAGAATTATCAGGCTCCTCATTGGGGACAGCAACAGTACTTTCTTTAGGTTTTACAATCAAATCTGCAAAGGCGGCAGGCAAATCAACATTTTCTAAGATTCTCATCTCCTTTAGCTTTTTCTCCAGCAAGTCAGAATCCGCTATGCCATACTCAGAAACAATGGTTTGAATAAACTGTAAACATGTGGACACAGAAATTAGATTTACAACTAATACAGACAAGTCCAAAAGAAAGAAGGATTCATCAATTCGCAAATTACCTCTTCATCAATCATTTCTATGATCTCCATGTGTCGTGGTAGCAGTTTCTGCATTAGTTCTAAACTCCATTTCTCCAATGCCTCTGGCAGAACAGTATGGTTTGTGTATGCCACAGTTCTAGGAGAAAGATGGCAAAATGTGAGGAAATCAAGTCGCTAGAATTGGGTTAGTACACAGAAACATATAAATATAAATACATGTAAAAGTATAGTAACAAGTTTACAGGAATACCCATCCACATAAACACAGTCAGGTCCACATAACCACATAAATTAAGGTGCACACAAGCAAACATGTAAGGAAAGAAGTGGAAGAGAAACATAAGCTTGGTCAATTAACTGCAGTTATCAAAAACTTGCATAAGCCAGCAGCAGGCAAGGTATGTCATACTAAACGCAAACGGTAAATACAGAGCGTCATGAATGTTAACTAAAACCCCAAGTTAATAGAAAAGGTATCAAAGAATATGAAGCACTAATAATTCTATATTCACTAAATCATTCAAGAATCAGTGGAAGCTTCTGGCTTTTTAGCCAAGGAATGGATAAGAAATGGGGGAAAAGAAGACAGTCCAGTTGTTAGATCTCAGGTCTCTTCATCATCCTAACAGCTCAAACCATAGAGTACATTTTTTATTCCTTGGGGAAAAAAGAAAAAAAAAACAACACCAACAAGAAACTGTGAGAATATATGTGTGTTAAAATAGAAAAATAAAATCTATTAGAGTACAAATAATTGGATCATTCCTATTAACTTAAGTCTTTGAGAAAATCAGTTCAGTTTATTGTTTAAGATGGTATTAAAGTTAAGGGTCTAGTGTTTCTTATCCTGGTTGTCATGTTTCCACTAAAAATTAATCCATGCTTTCAGCTCGTTGGCTTACACTCAAAGGGAGCGCGTTAGAATATAAATGATCAATTGGACCATTTACAATCAACTTAAAATTTTTGGATAATTAGGTCAAGGTATTATTTAAGAAAATCAACCATGGCAGGGAATACCTCTGAGTGATATTCCAGGCATCTTTCCAACTTAAGCCCTTTACATCTATCAAAATTCTCATAAGCTCGGGGATGCAGAGAGTAGGGTGAGTATCATTCATTTGCACTGCAACCTTCTCAGGGAATTCTTCCCATCTAATATTAGCTCCAGATCTTCTTTCAAAACGTGCAATGATATCTTGGAGAGAAGCTGAGCATAAGGTGTATTGTTGCTTCAAACGCAGGACCTTGCCCTCAAGTGACTCATCCCCAGGGTAGAGTACATAGCAGATCTAAAATCAAAACAGACATTATGAGTTTGGAGGACATACTCCTTAGAAGGTTAAGGGTTTTTCAGAAACACAGCCAGCCACCATAATATCAAGACATCTGTAAACAAAGCCCCTCTCCAGGAGGCCCCAAAAAAAATTGTCATTCTGTTTGGTGTCATTTTAACCTGGAAATATGAATCTGTTCAACTTGTCCCCAACCAACAATGTACTTTCTGTCACCCAACCCCCTCCAAGGAAGTGGTGAAGTTAAGGAATTCAGCAAAGGAAGCTGTCTCGACATCGTGAAATATCAAATCCAAGAAATATCTTCATTGATAAAATTTCAACCAGATGTGCATTGGTGGCTACCTGATTAATTTTTAGGAGCTAAGTTTGAGTCTAATGAATGTAAAAACTAACAATTCCAAACCTTTTCAGCATTAAATAAGGCCCCTGCAGACTTTGTGTGCTCTCCAGCATTAAAATCCTTTAAATCAAAATCTTCTGAAGTTGCCTTAGTTGACCAAAGTCGCAGGTTGATAGTAGTTTTAGTATTATATCCCGGTATTGGAACATCATAGGCAACAGCCTGTATATCTTCTCCTCCAATCCAGTGTCTTTTACCATCTGATCCTGAAACAACCTTACCATAAAACTTTACAGGGTATGAGACATTATTTCTCACTATTTCCCATGGGTTGCTCATCTACAAGAAGAAATATAAAAGTCAACAGGGAGGACTATGAAAAACACTAAAATGTCAGCAGTAACAAACTTGATATATGCCTACAGAAATACAATAGACAAGTCTAAGTCAAACATATTGAAGAAACAAAAAAATAACCTCAAGCCAATCTTCTGCAACTTCCTCCTGCCCTTCTTTAGTTATTCGCTGTTTGAATAAGCCATATCTGTATCTAAGTCCATAACCCCATGCTGGATAATTTAAGGTCGCCAAAGAATCCAAGAAACAAGAGGCAAGTCGGCCAAGACCACCATTTCCAAGAGCAGCATCAGGCTCCTATTAATAGCCAACCAAAAAACTTAGCAGCTGGAACAATTCAGACGCATATATGCATTCCACCCATATGCACAATACAGAGCAAACAAAGAAAAAGAATGACCTGAGACTAATTCATGATGCAAACAATTTCAAAAGTTCATATATATGATCACAATATTTGAGGCAACTGCCAAAACATTGAAATGAACACAACCGGTTTGCATAAGGGCGAGGAAAATGAAGGATTGATTACCAGTTCTTCTCAAACAAGATTTATATTGGGGAAAAGGGAACAAAGGAGTTTTTGGGAAGCACTAGAATGATAATGACATTAATATGCTTCAAAAAGTTTGAATTACTTGATGTATCCTTCCACAAAATTGAAAACAGTGGTCCAAAACAAAGCTAATCACAGTATAATAAACTAAAAGCATATCTGAAAGTTTAATTCTGCGGCATTCTTATTTTTATTCTCTGCAGTAATTATCTTACCTCAGAGTCTAAGCTTAAACACTTTTCTTCTCTGAGAGCACGACATTTTTACTAACAGAATAGTATTCAAAAGCAGATTACAGACGGCAAAACAAGGACTCCTGCATAGAAGTCAGTTACCAGATATTTTTGTTAAGCAATCTCACCTGGCAAGCTATGGCTTCTAAATTATGTCCTAGCTTTTTCAAAGCCTCAGCATAAGCACCAGTGAGCCCTAAATTTCCAACTGCATTCAACAGGGCCCTACCCTACAACGGCACACCATGATGAAATGATATCAGAAAATGAATTCTTCAAATAATGAAGTGTCACATGTAGAAATTCATGCAGACCTGTAAAAACTCCATGGACAAATAGTATGCCTGCTTCATATTCAATTTATCATAGAAATCATATGTAGCATTCCAGTTAATGATGAGAGTATCACGAACACTTTGTGCAGTCGCAAAGAAAGCCTTTGGCAGTTCAAATTTCTCTGGGGAAAACAATGGGGTGAACTCTGAATGGTATTTGATACTGGAGGCTATGGATGTGGCATCTGGTGCAAAAGGGCTCAGATTGCTAGGAGCTTCTACATCAAGATATGCAGATGCAAATTAATTGGGATTGAAAATCTTATAAAAGCAATCAAATATTTATACAAGGAAAAAAAAATGAACATCTTGCAAAACCAGACAGTAAATGGTGTTTGGTGTTAAATACACAAAATTAAAAAAATATATATATTATGGATTATTTTTCTTCAATAAGTCAGAGTTTCACCTGTATTGAAGATTAACTAATCTATGATGTCATAAAAAAATTTCATCAAATATCTATCAGTTCTGTGTGTGTGAGTGTATGTGTATCTTTCACCTTGAGTTTGTTGCATGCATAGATGCATGAGTTTGTGTGATTCTTTACAAATTGAAAATCAAAGAGGGAGAGGAAAAAATCCTGTTATATTTCACATCCTAATCCAACAAAATGATTGTCCTTATCATCCTCCAATCCTCACAAGGCAACATCCAAATTATTGCTGTTGTAACGTACCAAATGTTGACTATGAGAAAGCCGTGATACTAGATTCTTCTTCCTTTGAATCAAATAACACAATAACTGTACTTTAATTTTGAGTAATTCATACATCCATTAAGTAAACAATATATAAATATATCAAAATATAATATAAATAATATTCAAATAATAATACATATAAAAATATAGTTCGACTCAAACTCATAATGTCTTATAAAAAAGATGACGTACTAATCATTCAACTAACCAGTTAAGCAAGCATCCTTTAGTTAGTTAAACCTGACTGTTATGAAATAATTGAGTAACATCAATTAAGCAAAAGCTTAAATTAGTAGAAAATTATATAATCTACCATTTATATTCTAATCTGTCGAGTCATTATGAAAGTCACGCGACGATTTAAATGTGAATACCATGCACAGGGCTGCTATTATGTGCAATATTATATTTCCTTACCTCTGATATCGATTATAAGTTTAAGGTGATTAAAAAAGTTACAACCTATTATCTATATTCAATTGTCTCTTGTAATTTTATTTTAGTGCTCTTTCCACAGTATGAGCTAAGCATGCAAAAGCAAATTGTCAGATAACAAATACCAACAGCATACTTGGAACCTATTCATGCAATCCACCGACAATGACCATAAAAAACAGAAAATGTGCATAACTGAAACGCCACATTCATTCTATCCCACGATATTTGAAGACAACAAGAGAAAGGCAACACCAATGATCTAAGTTAAATACAAAATACAAGCGTTCATGCAATTAACTACAGAGAAAAAAAAGTTAAAAAAAATAACTAGATCTCAAACTCCAGCGAGCATCACATTTATATTTAAAACGACAGAAGAGCAATAAGAGAAATACGAAGAGAATGATAGAACGCAGAAAACCGTACCTCCTTGTTCAGTTACCGAATCCTTCAGCTTCTGCTTCGGCTCACTCGAGACACACTTCACCAGAAATGTCCTCCTCAATGGCGGCAACCTTGCGGTCCTCACGAACAGCAACCTAGATTTGCTACTCCTGTAACCGCAATCGATCAATCTCGAAAAGGAACTAGAATGCAGAAACGTCTCTGCTCCACTCGACGTCGCGCAGAATCGCGAAGTAGCCATTTTCTCCCTTCCAAACAAGCAAAAACAGAACACAACCTGTCTAGATCAAACCTTCCGGGAGATAGAGAGACTTAGTAGTGATATTTGCAATCTCACTCTCTTGACTTCTCGAATTCGTTATCTGTTCTTACGGAGCTTCCACATCTAATAAACAATAAAAGTTCACGAAAATGAGAATGATAAATATCGATTCGAGAGCATTATTAATTAAGAATAGTAATATTATTACTACACTCGGTGAGAGGTAGAATACGCTGTAGGTAGCTTCGATGGCCACTCATTGGTTGATATGGGACGAAACAAGTGAATCAGGAGATGTAAAGCTGTTTGATTGATTCTGATGGGGGTATGGTCTTCGGTACAAGCAGAGAGATTTTTTGGGGAAAGCGACAAGATGGAGAAATCATGTGTTTTCTTTTTTATTTATTAAAAAAATTTCAAATGACACTAACAAGTTAGAGCCACCGTCAAGTTGTCGAAAACTGATTGGTCCACATGCCATTTGCTCCCCATCGTCCACCTGTAAGCTTCTTATTGGTTAATGCTGCTAAACTTAAGGAGTAGTCACGTGTAAATTAATCTTGAGTTTCCACCTATTCCGTGTATACATAGATATATCTAAGAAAATTATAATTTTATGTAAATAAAAAATTTAAATAGCATAGTATTAAATTATTAAAAAATAAGAAAATTTAAACTATAACAAGGCCAATAATAAAAATAGAACTATAAATTTATTATCTGATTCATCTTCAATAATCATATATTATAAATAATTAAAATTAGTTATTTATATTCGGTGACAATTAATTAATTAGACGAAAATACTATCACAGTTTAATTTTTAATATATTGATATAAAATTTTGTATCATTGCAAAGAAGATTTTGTATATGTACTGTACTTGTAAGGTTTAGATGCTTATATATCTGTAATAGTGACAAAAGTTCATGTTTATATCATAATAATAAAAAAGATTACATATTTTCAGAGCTTGTTGTTAACAAATTATATATAATATATAATTATAACATATAATAAATTTATTCGAGTTAGTGTTATTTGTATAATTAATATATAGAATATAATAAAGTTGGTCGAATTAATGTTATTTGTTTATTAATGTTGTATAAATTTAAAGAATGTTTATGATAATCTTAAATTATTTGATAAATGTAATTTGAAAATAACGTGATTTATAAAATTATAGATACATTTTATATTACCACATGATATTATATTTTCTAAACATATAAATGAAATATAATATACACGAGATAAATTTAAAAAAATTAATATTTAAAGAAAAGAAACAGATAAGTTAAAAAGAAATTTATTTGTTGGTTAATAGTTACATCAAATACTTGGTGCGTAGATGCAACTATGATTTATCATATTTCTTTTTATCATATACGAAAAATTGCATCGATTAAAAAAAATAATTGGCAATTTATTACATTTAAATATAAAAGTTGATAAGAATTGGAAAAAAGAAATCCTAATTAGCTACTTAGATTTCTGAGGAAAAAAAAGAAAGATTAAAAAAAGTTTGAGGAGATAATTTAAGTTGTCATGACTTGGAACTTGGCGATGAACTGATGAATTTGAGTGGTTATTTCTTTTGGTTTCTCTTCCATGATGAAATGACCTACTCCTTCCATAACCATGACTTCCTCAAGTAATGGAACATCTTTTTTGAAACCACCATTATCTATATACTCTTTTATTACAGGAGTGGTATAAACTGAGTCAAGATCTCCCACGATGAATTTTACTGGTACTTTAACTTGTGTTTGATTCCAAGGCGATGTTAGCTCCCAATTTCTGCACCCAGTAAAGAAACATCCAAATAGGTTTCAACGTAATGGATCACTTGGGTTTGTGAATGAAAAATAAATTTGTGTTCTAAAGACTTTAAAAAAGAATATAAAAAAACTTACAAATCCATAGCTCGATAGTAGTTCAATCCTCCAGTGAAACTTTTTTGCTCGAATTTAGTAACATAATAGCTAAGATCCTCTTCTGTCAACCAGGGAAGTAAGCAAATTGGAACGCCAGGATGTATGTCGAAAGGATTCTTTTTAGGTAAAATAGGAGGTCCTGGATTTCGACCTGTCAAAATTTTTTCCAACACTTGTCTTGTTCCAGCGCGAACTATCTGTTTTTCAATCTTTCCAAGTTCCTGACATACGTATTTTAGTTAATAATGGTGAATGTAATATTAATCATTGATACGTATAATTAATTACTTAATCATGATTGACCATGTTTAAAATAGTAACAGGAGATATAATACTTGAAATCTACAAATATAGTAGTCATCTCCAAATTGAGCTCTCATGGCTTCAACAGGCTTCATGTGTGGATTCCTCGGCATAAAGGGTACGCTTAAGCACACAAAGGCCTTCACTCTTTCAGGCCTAAACAAACAAAGATACCATGCAACTATTGCACCCCAATCATGCGCCACCACAAATGCCTCTTCTGCACCTAAAACATTAATTAAACCTACAATATCACCAACTACGTTAACACAAGAATAGGCAGAGATGGAGGTGGGAGCTTCGCTGTCGCCATAACCACGAAGATCAGGAGCAACAACATGGTAACCAAGAGAGGATAAGTCTAGAATCTGATGTCGCCATGAGTACCAAAGCTCTGGAAAACCATGGAGCAACAAAATCAGAGGACCTTCTCCTTTCTCTGCTATGTGCAACTTTATGTCGTTCACCTCCACAGTCCTGTGCACCACACCTTCTAATTCCATAGTCTTTTTGGCTTCAAATCACACAAGCAAGTTGGATGAAATCTGATTGCTAGCTAATAATGATGAGTATGGAGTGCTAGCATACCAAGAGTATTTATACTGTCAATCTATGGGAGTTTATTGGAAATAAATTTATTTTCCTTTTCTTTGATGGATATTTTGTTTCCTTTTCTGCATCCAGTCCTCACAACAAAAGGATATTCATCACTTAAATTTTCCTACTCTGTTAATCTACTTATCCATAATGACGTGATTAATTTTTACTTTCCTTTTTGGTTGAACTTTCTTTTATAGTTTCCTCTCATATCATTAAAACGTAATTATCCAAATTAAGAAAATTTGGTTCCCTGTTTAAATTACTTTCCTTTTATGACTTCTTTTCTTAAATTATTAGGTACGTTTCTTTCCTTTTCCAATTCTCACTTATGATCTACATATCATATACGTAAAACTAAATTTGGAAATTTCAGCTTAGATTAATTTTCTTTCACCACAGGTACTAACAATAGGTTGGATATTATAATGTATTACGTATGGATTATAATCTTAAAATTTAATTATATCGTAGTTAACTATTATTTTTATATTTAACATATAACATTAAAAAAATAATTAGTTTATTTACAGGCTTTTTTCATAAACTTAAAATGTATATTGACCATCTTCTCTAAAAACTTGTTTGACATTAAATCAGTTCTTTGGGAATTTGCAACTGATAATTTTTGAAAGGGATTTCAATCACATAATCTTCTACGAAATCAAGAGTTGGAGATTACAGGAAAAATTACCTGCCAGATGAATCCTAAGCTCCTTCCTGACTTCAACATGCAAAAATTTGGTAATTCTTCACTTCCATTCCTCCTCTGTTTTTCTCTCCTCAAGCTTTACCGGGCGGATTGAAGTAAATGAGCTCGGAAATTATCGGACTCCTTTAATCTCTTAATTTTCGTTCCTTCGATCTTAGTTGTCGTTCGTTTCTGTAAGAGATTCGTCTTATCGAATCAATTCGATGCCTTCAAAGCACCTAATTATTCCAGATTCCTCCTTCTGAAATCCAAATTTCAATTTGATAATTTTATTTTTCTTGTTATATATATGCATTTTTCAAATCTTCTTACATGATAATACAATCAATTTGCTTCTGTAATAAATCATGCAAGAAATGAATTCCAATGGAAGGAATACAAATGTAGATTCCTCTGCAATATATTATTTTTCAACTTTTAAACAATTTTGAGAAAAAAAAAACTGTATATCTTGAATATATACATATGTACACACACACACACACACACACACACACACAAGAGTAACAAGCCTACAAGAAATCTATTACAATAAAAAAACTGATGCATTCTTAACATAAAAACTCTCAAAAAATTTCTAATCTCTTTTAAAGAATTAATTTACAAATAAAAAATATACTTATAACTAAATTGAGGCTTATGAGAAGAGAATAAGATTCTTCTTTTGTATTCAAATTTAACAATAAAAAAATTATCTAAAATTTATTGAAAGTAAGTATTTATATGTGGAAAAATAAAAAAAATGATGGGTGAAATTTTTTTTAAAATTAGATATAACACTTTAAAAAAACTATAGATACATTACCAAAAATAAATTTTTTTTTTATAAACGTTGATCGTACATACTATATATTTTGACACTTATCTTAAAAAAAAAAGTAAAATTTTTAAAAATTATTATAATATCTAATTTAGTTTACTGAAATCACTTTTAAAAACTTTTGATAATATTGTTATTTAAATTATTTCTTATTCTTCTTTAAAATTACAACTTGAATCTCCCAATAATCATTACAAAAAGATAAAAGTCACAAAATATTTTTCCCACAAAGGATATAATAATGGTTTGGTCCAAACAAGTCATGGAGCCACCCTTAGCACTCTCATTAAAGATATATATATATGTATATATATGATAAAAGAGGATTTTACCAAAATCAAATTTTCTTTTTTGGGTTCTAAACAAAACACCCAATCAAATACTTATAGAATTCTAAACAGTCTATTCTGGATCGGATTGTTAACACAAATATATACTAATTATATGTAAGGACATCATATACAGTGGCATACCATTGGCTCAAGCCAATTGTATTTTGGATCACAACATAAAAAGAATATAATCAATAATCAATCATCTCCTCCAGATTTCATATTTACGCCTTTTAAACTGATTCATTATTTTCTTCATCTAAAACCCTTGATTCCCCTCAGATCTCTCCCTCACACCACATCCATGGCTTCTCGCCACCACCACTGTCATCTCAATCCTCTGCCCTGCACCACCACCAACCCATGCTCCTGCAACTGCAATTCCACTCCCTGCTGCAATCACTCTCAGCCTCACCACCCATCAACACCACAACTGGACCCTCTTCTTCATCTCCTTGCCTCTTATCTCCTCCAACAACACCCTCCTCATCAACCCCATCCTCATTCTTCGCTCGCAGACACGCGACGGACCCAGATGAGCGATCCTCCAAAACAGCGGTTCCATCAGCGGAGACAACAATTTTTTCAACAAGAAGATAAATGCTGGCCCCGACAACAAAACCCTTTTGATCTCTCTTCTCTTCTTCACCGGATAAACGCTCTCGAGTCCTCTCTCCACCATTTTTCTATTTCCCCGGATGATCGTTGTGCAGCTCCGTGCTCGCTCAGGGACGTGGCGGCTCGTGTTATTCAGACCCATTTCCGTGCGTTTCTGGTTCGGAGATCGAGAACCCTTAGACAGCTTAAAGAACTTGCGGTTGTCAAATCCAGCTTCACTTCCCTCAAATCTTCTGTTTCCAATAAAACCCATTTTGATTTTGAAGCTGTCTCTCGAAAAGCCATGGAGTTGCTTCTTAAGCTCGACTCTATTCCGGTTTGTTACACAATGGTGCCTTAATCTTCGAATTTCTAGACCTGTTTTTTTTTATTTTTTATTTTTTATTTAATTTGTTAGTTTGTCTTCAGGGCGGTGATCCAATGATCAGAGATGGGAAAAGATCCATCAGCAGAGATTTAATCAGGTTTTTGGAGTTCATTGATGGGTTAGCCTCGAAAAGGCATCATCTTTTGTACAAAGCTGCTAAAAATGTGAGATATGTTGATAACAGCGGTAACAAGTCTAGGGTTTTGGGGACTAATTATGATGGGGGCAGAAGAGAAATAATCGAGAAACTGAGGGGAAGAGTAGAAAAGATTCGTGGGTTTTCTTGGGTTTCTAGAAATGAGGATGGCGAAGAAGATGCAGAGATTGAAGGGTTCCACCAAGTGATGAGTGATGATGAAGAGAACCCTAGGATTTCCATTAGTGGAAAGAGTGGTCTTGCCAAAAATGGAAATAGGGTACCGGTCAAAGGACATGGAGGGCCCTCTGGAGTGAAAAAAAGTGTGAGCTTTGCAGAGAATGAAAACATGTATAGGGTTTTTTGCAACGCCTCAAGTGGAGATGATAATTCTACCAATTCTATCAACGGTAGCGATTTGAGTGATGACCATGGAGAGATGTTGGAGAATCAGTGCAGTGAAGTGGAAGTAATGGGAGTTTTAGCTAAGGAGAGTGAGAATGATGAAGAACCTCAAAAAGGCGGTGGAGGGTCTCCACAGAGTAGTGATGAAGAAAGAAGCCATTGGAGGAACTTGAGCACTCTCAGTAGAAGAAGTGAAATGAAGGGAGAGTTTCAGGTTCAAAATGGTGGTTTAGTGTTTTCCGCTCCCTTGCCCGTGAAGATGGAGACGAGAACCGATTTGAAGAAACAGAGGAAGGCTGTGAAGATTATCACATGAAAGGCCACAAGAGATCAAGTTTTCCTATTCTGCAAAAGAACAAAATAAAAAGAAAGAAAATTTTTGGTTGCTGGGTGAACGTTTTTTGGTGTCTCAGATATTGTCATTGTTAGTAAAAGGTCGGCACTTTAGGCTTTTTTGCTCCCTCAGGATCTGTAAACAAATGCTCCTTGTGTTTTGTTTTCAGAGATTAGATTAGTCAGCCCGGTGAGTCAATTCTGTAACTTGGTCTTGCAATTCATTGATGTTAACTGAAATTTGAACCAATGATTTCCTGCGATTTGCATCATAATATTAGTTGGCCAGTATTGACTCCTATTACAACAATTAGTTTCCGATAAAGAGACCGACTGTGAAATGACATGTAGAGCAGATATTACAATGTCGACACAATATACCTGCAAAATATGTCAATGCTTTAAATGATGAATTTTTCCAAGATTATGATGTCTCGAGGACTCTGTGTTGGTTAATGGTGTAGGACAAATAAAATTGATTTGTCCAATTAAGTATTTCGAGAATAAAAATTTAGACATTACCTAAGGTTTTTTAAATATCATATCTATTTAAACATCATATTTAAAAGTTTGATTGGATCACATAATTAAAAAACTGAAATTTTTTTAAAATATTATTAAATATTTAAATAATTAATAAATAAAATTGTAGAACTATTCATAAAAATTTAGTGCTACCCCATTCTGCGTCGGTTAAGCTTTTAAATTTCTTCATCTTGCAAAGGAATAACAGGAGTGAAAGAGTCTAGCATACGATAATTTGTATGTTAAAAACGAGTATGAATTAGGAAAAGAAAATCAAACAATAAGTCATATTAGATCCAAGAGAAGCAAAATAATAACTATCAGACCACAGAACTATGTTGCACTAGCCTAAAATTCTCAGGATTTTGTTAGAGATATGCAGACACTCAGATGCACAAAAAGGACAAGCTCAAGAATTAAAAAACCATAAACTTTCAAAGCTTGGAAAAATTCATGGAACTGGAGAAAGCTAAGCATAACAGAAAATTAAAGTTCATATTTTCATCTCTTTCTCTCTTATTAGAACGTGAAATAATTCTCTCAGAAAAAGAAAACATGAATATAAAGAAGCTGACATGTGGAACAAACAAAAGGGGGAAAAATTTGCAATTTCAGAAAGTGTTGTCTACCATTGTTAAAATTTGATTTCCGCTATTCTACTGAAGAAAAAATGACTCCTTAAATGTAAGGAGCACTCAGTGTGACTTCAAATAAAGTCATCAGCACTGGAACCAACTAATTGCACCATGGAAGTGTCTTGGCTAGAATCCTTCAACCACAAGCAATCATGACTCTCATGGTCAGGGCAATTACAATTAGTGCATATACCAACTCTATTTGATGACTGCTCCGAAGTATATTTGGAGATATTATCTTCTTCGGAAGATCCTCCTGTGCTAGCTTTCTGATTTTCTGAAGAAGTTAGTAACACCGACGAACTGTCTACTTGACTAGCACCCTTTGTGTTTTCGTCCTGATAGCTAGCACATGCTATGGTTTCTAGTTCACTGGGATTGATAGCATTTTTCTTTGCATCAATAATTTTATTCCTAGCCTCTTGTAAGGCACTTAATGCCACCTTAAAAATATGGTCAGATGTCATCCCTTCCTCAGCACATCTAAGTGCTTCTTGATATAAAATATTGTATTGTGAGTTTTTGCTTTTTTGAGAATTATCTTGCATCTTCATGCAGGGCTGCATATCCAGCATAGCCTCATCCTTCACATTTTTAGTCCAGCGCTTCAAAATATAATGTTTTGGGAGCACAAAAACATTTGTCATCTTGTATATCGCAATCACGTGTCTACACAAGATACCTTCAAACTCGAACATTTTACAACTACAACTGGCTATTTGTTCAGAAATACTCAAAGCAACAAAGTAAACTCTATGCTTTTCATCAAATCTTGCTACCTCGTAAGTTCTTGTTCCACCATCATCTCCACTTAATTTTACAGCAAGCACAATAGATTCAAAAATCTCTTCCTGAAATATAGAGAACAATTTTCTAGTGTAAACTTCCGATGCTTGCTTTTCCATGGGAAGAGGTGTCTTCAAGATTGGCCTTGTGTAGAAAGTTTCAAATTCTGCTTTTGCTTCCTTCTCGTACCGATCATCCAAAGCCTTCTCATATTGCTCTGCAAAGTCTTGTAATGTAGTCCTTGCAGTTACATAGCCATCAAAAAGAGAGCTCACACTAGCACTTCTCTGCGTAGAATACATGCCAGCAAAAAAAGTGTCTCTTACATATGTTGATACCCACAGCTTCCGATCAATATAAAGTGATTGAAGCCATTCATTTCCTCTAAGATTGAACTTCTCAAGAAGCAGCTGCCAAGCACATTCGAACTCTTCAGGTGTCTCACTCTTATTAACACATCTATCAAATTCCACTTGGAATGTTTTAGGAAGTGAACTATACACGTTGCCCATTTCCTTTGGCATTTTGCTCATGATGTGCCACTTGCAATATCGATGCCTTGACTGTGGAAAAACCTTTTCTACAGCTCTACTAATGGCAGAATCATAATCGGTTATGATTAAACCTGGTTGCCGTCCAGACACTGCCTCAAGCCAAGTTGTGAAAAGCCAAATGAATGTCGATTCAGTTTCATCTGCGAGCAATGCACAGCCAAACAGCACTGACTGTCTATGATGATTTACCCCAGTAAAAGGTGCAAATGGCATTTTATATTGATTCACTTGATACGTAGTATCAAA